TTTACAAGGAGAGGCTGAGGGAACTGGGGTTATTTAGTCTGAAGAAGAGAAGAGTGAGGGGGCATTTGATAGCAGCTTTCAACTACCTGAAGGGGGGTTCCAAAGAGGATGGAGCTAGGCTGTTCTCGATGGCAGATGACCGAACAAGAAGCAATGGTCTCAAGTTGCAGTTGGGGAGGTTTAGGTTGGGTATTAGGAAACACTATTTCACTAGGAGGGTGGTGAAGCACTGGAATGGGTTATTTAGGGAGATGGTGGAATCTCCATTCTTCAAGGCTTTTAAGGCCAGGCTTGACAAAGCCCTGGCTGGGTGATTTAGTTGGTGTTGGTCCTGCTTTGAACAGGGGATTGGACTAGAAAATCGCCTGAGGTCTCTTCCAACCCTAATCTTCTATGAGGTGCCAACCATTAAAGTTGGCAGAATGTTGCCGTTTGAAAATCAAGCCCTAAATGTACGTCAAGTATAGTGACCTTTGCCTGGAAGATAAGTTGGCAACAGTAAACAAGCAGGAAAAAAAGCACGAGGGGACAATCTCAGAGTAACATCTACAATGAAATGGCTTTTGCATATTAATTAACATGACTCTATGTCTAGCATTTCCCCTTTTATATTTGTCAGATCTGTCTGGCTAGCACACTTTGTTATGGAAACTAGTAGCAGCCACACTCAACAGTTATGTATATATAGTTTTTGTTTATAGAATGGTTTAGTACCAATGATAGAACTACCCAAAGACAACACTATATTGATTGCATTGGCAAGTACAGGGCATTTAGATCTTAGTTTACGATGGCATATAAAGACAGTATTTATATATATGTATATATGGCACTGAATAGTCTGTCCACTCTCAAGTGCCTCAGAATTTTGTTAAAGTGGTAAATGAAGTCCATCTGTTCTGAAATGAGGCCACTTATGATCTCAGCACAGCAGTATACTTTCCATTTCCTGCATTTCTTTAATCTTGTAATCTAATCCAAGTTTCAGTAAAAGAAAGGAGTTCTTTTTAACAACTTCTTCACTGAGAGATTTTATTTTTCCCTTGCAGTGACCAGGAGACTATAAAATGGATATTTTTCATTGTTATTGAATAATACTGTGCACTTATATAGCTCCTTCTGTCTGATGGTTTTAATCTTTTTTCTAATGCTTTTTAGATGTGATGTATGGAAATTATAATTAATCTCATTTTAACAATGGGGAAGCAAGATACAGCAAGGTTAAGCGACTTACCCCAGCTTGCAAATGAAAACTGTAGCAGAGCTGGGAATATAACCAAGCTTATTGATACCACAAGATCACTCTTTTCCCTCTCTATCCTTTTTAATATTCCCCTAAATAGGTAAAAGTGGATCATAATTTCTTTCCAAGACTAATTTAATTCCAGAAATATTTTAATCATTGGGCAGCCTCAGAAAATCCATGACTTTATTTGCCCACCAACTCTTCAATGAGACTCAGAGAATTCAGCCAAAATGTTGTGTGTGTGGTATGTGAGTTCTGTATTAACAGATTCATTCTTTTGATGATAAACTCAGATACATGATACTGGCCACAGTACTTTTATCTGCTGGCTAACATCAAGTGTACTCTTCAAGAATGCACTATTGAGTAGCCCAATTTCTGCAGCTTGGGAGGCATAAACAGCAAAGATACCTTATTATGCACTAAAAGTACAATTTTACCTTACTAACATGGTTTAACAAGTCCCACTGTCTTTTGTGGTTTTCTTCTCTCTGGTGGGAGGGCCGAGGGGGTTGTCTATAGCATTTCTGCTGCCTTAGGCAAACTCGCAAATATCCACTTTTCACAGTCTGAGAGCAATCACTCCTGACTAGTAAACATTTTGCGATAGCTAATATTTTGCTACTCTGTATGCCCCCCAAGGGTCTGATCCAATGCCCAGTGAAATCAGTGGAAAGACTCCCATTATGGCAGAGCCAGCCTTGGTCTGAGTCAGTTACCAGATGTCCAAAGTCTATCTAATTAGAGCTGCAAAATCTACTGGACCACCAAACTAATGCCCACTGACTGGACACTTGCAAAAGAGCCTTGTGAATGAACAAGTACTCCTTTGGCTACTAGAATAGAAAAGCAGGCTCTGATTACATCACAACCTATCCCGATGACATCATTCTTATCTCTCAGAGAGATCCCAGAGGATAGGTTTAGGTAAATTGCTGTTCCACATGGATGGCTCTCATCATGAGAGTCTCACAAAGGGTTCCACCTTTCACCCGTGCTCTTCCAAGTTTATATATGGAGCTACTAGAATGGTGAGGGAGGAGGCCTGGTTTAAAGTGCTTTCAGTATACTGATGATACTCTGCTCTATTTCTTCATTTTGTCTGATTCAGAGAGTGCATTTGAACACCTTTCTCAAGTGCCTGGAGGAAACTGAGGACGGGCAAGAGCACACTGGCTGAGGCTCAGTCCAAAGACTGAGGTGATGGTAGATTAAGAGAAGCAAATAGGGGACATGGGAAAGATTGTCACTCCCTCTTAGCAAGAATGTCTGTCCACAGTTACTCAGTTGAGTTTGCAGTTTAGACACCTCGTTTGTCTAACAGCGGATTGGAGGCTATAGCACAGCCGTAGTTACTAAAGCTGCTTTTTTCCTTCTGCATCTAGTCAGGGGGTTGCAACCCTTTCTCTCCACTGCTGACCTCACTTACAGCCATTCATGCTCTGTCACTTCAAGTTAAGCTTGCTACAATGTAGTCCAGAGGGCTACTCCTTAAATCAATTGAAAGCTGTTGCAGAATGTGGCAGTCACTGATAGGAGGTATATATTACAGAGCACATGATGTCAGCGCATCAATTGTCTGCACTGGCTGCCTGTCGGTTTCCAGGGAGGTGGCCCATTGATTTCAATGGGCTTTGGATCAGGCCCTATACTGGAGATTAACAACTCAGTGTAACTATTATTTTATTATTAGTAAAGCACAGGCAACACGATTGGCCCTATGCAAGACAAAATGAAAAGAATCCCTGTAAATCAATATTGTTTCAAAAAAAATGGGAAAAAAATTCATTACAAGAAATAAAAAGCCCAAGTTAGAAAGGTTTATTTCTATGATCCTTCAAAAGTAAGGAAGCATTGCATTGCACAAGGGTAGGATGACCAGATAGCAAGTATGAAAAATCTGGACTACTTTTTTTTTTTTTTGGTGGGTTATAGTTGCCTCTCTAAGACAAAGCCCCTAATATCAGGATATCTGGTCACCCTGCACAAGGGCCCCAGAGGCTAACATGAGCAGTAACCTACCTGTCACTTTTGCAAGCCCAATACCCCCGGACTATACAGAGTAAGGTGGTACATAAAGAGTCATATTTGTTATTTTGTGACCACATGGCACTTCATGGTGCCCACTCCCCTTTTTTATTTTCACTGTAAAATACATACCTTTCCTTTGAGGAATCTTCCCTGGACTGCTATGATGTCTAGGTGCAGGGCGTTTGTTAATTTAAAAGAAATCCAGAAACATTTACAGCTAGTGGAGCAACACTAAATTGGTATGGGATCAAATTAATATGTCCTTTTTTGGGGTTCTGCTCCCTGCTCCCACACAGACTCACTGTGCGGGACTTGAGCAAATCTCTAAGGGCGGCATTTTCACTCCTCTCTAAAGTTAATTATTCTACTTGAGCCTATTTCAGAGACGCTGTGTATCTTCCTCCAGATGAAATCAATGGGAGCCGTGGGTGCTTAGCACTGCTGAAAAAGTAAGAGCCACGGAGTCTGGGCATGCACAATCAGTGTCCAGTTATGAAAACATTGGCTGTAAAGTCTCTGTGCTTTCAGGGTGTGATCCTGTATTCAGTGGGAGTGAATGGGCCCAGCCCTGGACAGGATTAGTCCTTTTTTTCCCAGCTGTAAAAGGGGGGAACAAAATATTCAATGTTTTCACAAGGGTGTCATCTAATTTATTGGTAAAATGCCTTGAGACCCTTAGCTGGATATCACTAGAAAGGGGCTGTGTTTTACTGTTTCCAGCTCTAATTTCTGTAACTCTGGGCATGTTTCCTGAGCCAGCTGACTTGGGTAATAACAAAGCAGTTTTTGAGAAGCCCAAGTTGATGAAATTATATATCTTATCAGCCCCAGTAGAAGAGTCTGCAGAAACAGGAGAGGGAGAGCAGGTTGCAAAGGTCAGTAGATAAAGGAGCCTGTGTTTAATACAGTCCAGCCCTGGGGGGCAGCAGGGGAACAGAGTGGAGGGGAGGCAGCACAAAACAGCATCCAGGCACTTCCAGTTTTATGTGTTTGTAGAAGTGCAGCAAATTAAAACAGAAAACAAAGCGTTTGGATGCATAAGGAATGGGATAGTAAATAATGCTGAAATATAATACCCCATATAAATCCAGGGAACACTGTGCTCAGTTCTGGTAACCCTATGTCAAAAAGGACCTAGCAGAACCAAGGGGGGATTCAAATACGAGCAACAAAAGCGATTAGAAGCCTGGAAAAACAACATACGAAAAGGCCTTGGATTGTTTCGTTTCGAAGGCAGCTATTTTTCTCTTTTAAAGACAGGAAATATTTATTTTTCCCAACATGGAAACAGAAAAAGAGACAACGACCCCTCTGAGAGGGAGACAAGCATCAGTGTAGAACTGCTGTTCAGTTTTCATCAGTTCAGAGGAAAGTGCTCTCGCTTACACAAATGCCATTAGAAGGCAGCTAATAAAAGGACGATATGATGAAGGTATACAGAAAAGGGAATGGCATGGAGGTGATGAATTGGGTGTCCTGTTCGCTCCATACCACATGAATAAGGTCATTTGGTATAACTGCAAAGCAGCAAATTTAAAAGGGAGCCGAAGAAGAAATAGTTCTTTTACACAATGAACAGCTAGCCCGTGGAATGCCTAGCAACACGGCATCACTGAGACCAAGAATGTAGCAGGCTTCAACACTAGGCCACTGCCAGGGATAACAAGGCAATCCGGGGGGCGGGGGAGAGACAGGCAGGGCACAGCCAGAGCGAGTGCCTGTTTTGGAAGAGAGAGAAATCTCTACCCATAAACCAACTTCTAACCCAGACTGTTGGGACGGCACGTCCCTTGCGGGCAGGCCATTTGTGAATGTCAGGCTTCTGGCGCTCTTGTGACTTGCACTTGCTGAAGCATCTGGTGCTGGCCCGGGGCACTGGACAGGCTGGCTCTGGGATCTGACCCAGGGTACTGCCGAGTCCAGGTTGCCAGGAGCAATGCCTCGAAAGAGGCCGCTCCAGGGTCTTCAGTCTCTCCCCTCAGCAGCTCCCAGCCAGCTCCTGGGGCTTTTGCCGTTCCCCGCACCCCTGCCTGCGCCACCTGTTCCTCTCTCTCCTCCAGCCCCCCGGGCAGGTTCCCGGGGTCCTGCGCCCCCTTCGCCCACCCAGGGACTCCTGCTGCTCTTCGCACGGCACCGGGCGCCCGCCTCCCCCGTGCCCCGCTCCGGCCCGCCCCCGGGAGCAACGAGCCCCCGCGTCCAGCCCGGGGCCGCCCCCGGGAGCAACGAGCCCCCTCGCCCAGCCCGGCCCAGGGCCGCCCCGCGCCGCGCTCACCTGGGTGGAGGCGGCGCCGCTAGGGGGCAGGGAGCTCGCGGCGCTTTTCCGCCCTGGGGAGCCGCGGCTCACCCAGGAGACTCCCCGGAGCGAGACGGGAGGCGCGACCCGCCGCAGCAGGTGAGTGGCCGGCGGGAAGGGGCTCCCGGGTCCCCAGCCGCGCTGCTGCCCGGCCCAGGGGCTCCGCGCCGCTCCGCGCGGGCCGGCTGGGCGGACGCGGGCTCGCCGGGCGTCAGCGCCCTGCCGCTTTCGTGGGCAGGAGAGCGAAGGGCAGGCTCCGGAGCAACCCGCCACACTCGCTTCCTCCCTCAAGCGCCTGGCTTCGCTCAGCCCGGGGCAGCCGGCCCCTGCCCTGCTCCCCTGGCAAGTGAGCTCCCCCGGGGGACTCTGCCCTTTCACAGCGCCCCGCTGAGCCCCGCTGCTGGTCCCGCAAGCCGGCCCCTGCTCCGCTCCCCTGGCGCGCCTTGGGGCGTGAGCTGCACCGGGGAGGGGACGGGACCGGACTGGACCCTGTCCTTTCACAGCGCCCCGCTGCTGGTCCCGCAAGCCGGCTCCTGGCCACTGATCCCTAGGTTGGGCCAGCCCATGGAAAGGGGGTTGTCGCACCGTCGGGCTGGAGCCGCTGAAAGGGAAGGCGAAAGAGTCTTTTTTAACATCTCCCAGAGCTAACCGGTGCTCTGATCTGTTCAATGTGGAGCTGTGTGTTTCCTCTCTTTACCGGCCCCCCTCCCCCTGTCATATTTTCTATTTATTCATCCTGGGGAATAGAAGTTAATTTTGGGACATTGAGCCAGTTGCTAGTTGGACTGAAAGTCAGCTTCTCTCTAAAGCGAGTTCAATTTGAGACAGCTGTGTGTGTATTTGTCTAGTTTCTTCCATTATCCTGTTCCCCAAATGTTAAATACAAGTCTTCCAGTTCTAGGCCCTGGTTCTTCAAACACACCCAGGCCTAATTTTACTATGCTGAGTATTCCCTCAATGGGAGTAAAGTTAAGCAAGTGTGTAAGTGTTTGTAGTATCAAGGCCCTAGAAATAAGATTTTTAGCTGACCTATGTCAGAATCCCTTTGAATTTCATACAGTTTAAAGATCTAAAAGTGGTAATGACCAACATGTAAAATATTTTAAAACAACTTATAGCTTTACAGTAACCCAGGCATACATGGAAGTTAGTGAGTCAAGATGTCTCACTGTATGACAAATAGCAGACAAACTGCACCCAAGGAAGCTGAATAGAGATGATGTAAGACTTGCCAGAACCTGTTTCTGAAGTTGATGCACTTGATGGTAGCAAATTATAGTAAAACCAATTGTGACAAAAATATGTGGCAAAGTATGATTGAGAACAGAAAAATTGAGTGAGCCAGATCATATGTTCCAATATGCATGCAAAACTCTCATTGAAGTCAGTGGGAGTTTTATGTGTGTACTGGAGAGCAGAAGTTGTCCTGTGTGTTTAAGTATTTTCTTAAGGGTAGAAATTCTCAATCCATAATCCGTGATTGATGGGCCTTTCTCTGTAGAAGAGGACAGCAGCAGACAAACAATATTAGCACCTGAGAGTGGAAGTTATGGCCTAGCTGGTAAATCTTACTTGGGTCAGGAAGTTCTAATAAAACACTGAAGATATAGAACCTTTTGGTCCTGCTCAATGTGTGTTTGTTAACTGAATGGAGATATTGAAATCTATGGCAGGTAGTTCTACAAACTACTTTCTACAAAGACTTACACATGTGCTTAACTTGATTGTATTGTGAGTAGTCCTATTGAAACTGCTTGCAGTATGTGAAGCTAAACAGCTTTGTAAATCTTTGCAGGATCAGGGCCTTAGTTAATGTTGACTCATTTAAGGCATAAATGACTTTCCATTAAAAGTAGTCTTCTTGAAAGGATGTAATTACATTTTACAAGCTATAGCAATCAAAAAGCCTACATGCATCTGATAATAAAAATGCCTTGCTTTTGTAGATGTGAGGAGATCTGGTAAACTCAGGGGTTGATGATTGTTCCTTGTTTACACAGGCCAGATGATTGAAAACATAACTTACTGGCCTTGTCTTTTGCACCACAGAACAACATAAAGTCAGGAAGTTGTCTTAACAGTACTGGAGTGTTTTGGATGCCTTTTTCTAATATTTCTTCATATTGTGGCTTGACACATCACTGAAAGGGGTATTAGGAAATCAGAGAGAAAACTTGCAAACATTTCTAAAGAGATTGGTCAATGATTGGTAGGCCAAAAGAATCATATATCTGTGATTCACTTCTAATTTCAGTGGGAAAGTTTTACACTATGGAGACTTATATGACAACTTCAGCTTAATAACAGGATAAAAACATTCCAAAAGGTTACCATGGCAATCTATTATTGGTACTTTTTATTTGTTTGAAATAAATCAAGTACTACATTTTGTAATGTCATATCATTAACACTGAAGACAGGGATCTCTCCAGAATCTATCAAGCCTAATACTTATTTCATAAGTAAGTCTCTCTACAACTCTATGGTCTTTGGAAGTAATTTAGAATCTACTGAAGAAACCAGGACTTGGTCAACAGGAGTGCTGACCATTGGAAAATACACTTGAAAGCAGTTTTGAACTGTTTTAAAGTAAATACTAACTACAGTATTTGAATTTGGCTTAGTAAGGAAGAATCTGCTGTTTTCAAGTCAGACGTAAATAGTAAAAACATTTAGACAGTGTTTTGTGATTATGATTCGTTACAGGAAAAAAGTGTCCTGTCTTGTAACAGGGACGCTGGAAGACAAGCAAGCATTTTGAAGATCATTGATTAGAAAGAGAAATAACCAAAGTCTTATTGTGTATACACACACAGACTAGCAGTCTTAATACCCTGTTCTGTATTTCAAAATACTGAAGTCAACTCTAAAGAGGGTACATGCACTTGAGGCCAGCACCAAAATACAAATTTAGAAGACCTACAGCTATTTAATAAAATATCTTTTGAAGATAGGTAGACACTGACAATATTGTAATATTCTTATTTATGTTTTAATAACGCAAGTACTGAGAAAGAGAAAAGAAACTTTCTAAAAGGTTTTAATTATGTCCAAAATCAAAATGCCTTTTATTTAAGGCATCCTAATTTAAGAGTATTGGCTTATGAACTTTTTATTTGCACTTTCCATCTCCTTTAATCAAAAGATTAGATTGGTATTATGTCTGCTGTTAAAACCCACGATGGATTACACTTTGTGTGTGTGGTGACACAAGTGCTTAGGTTTTGAAGTTATTTACTTTGCGATGGTTGCCATTCAAGTCAACAGGGGCCAACAATCACCATGTGTGATACTGCAATATTCCATTGTACTCAGAATAGAAAATAATAGTGATGTCCAGAATGCGACTGTCTGGTTATAGTAAGTTAAAGTTGACTTTTAATGGTTACCACTGTATGTCATGTAGGATGCCAGAGGCTACTGATAACAGAAATCAGGATCCCGTGGGCATTCTTGTAAAACAGTTATTGCATTTTTAAAATTGTTCCTAGTAGGGCCGTTGATTAATCACAGTTAACTCACGCGATTAACTTAAAAAAATTAATTGCGATTATTAGCAGTTTTAATCGCACTGTTAAACAATAGAATACCAATTGACATTTATTAAATATTTTGGATGTTTTTCTACATTTTCAAATATATTGCTTTCAATTACAATACAAAATACAAAGTGCACAGTGCTCACTTTATATTATTCTTATTACAAATATTTGCACTGTAAAAATGATAAAAGAAATGGTATTTTTCAATTCATCTCATACAAGTACTGTAGTGCAATTTCTTTGTCATGAAAGTGCAGTTTACAAATGTAGGATTTTTTTGTTACATAACTGCACTCAAAAACAAAACAATGTAAAACTTTAGAGACTACCAGTCCACTCAGTCCTACTTCCTGTGCAGCCAATTGCTAAGACAAACAAGTTTGTTTACATTGGCAGGAGATAATGCTGCCTTCATCTTATTTACAATGTCACCTGAAAGTGAGAACAGACATTCACATGGCACTTTTGTAGCCAGCATTGCAAGGTATTTATGTGCCAGATATGCTAAACATTCGTATGCCCCTTCAGGTTTCGGCCACCATTCCAGAGGACATGCTTCCATGCTGATGACGCTCATTTAAAAAAAAAAAAAAAGTTAATTAAATTTGTGCTTGAAATCCTTGGGGGAGAATTGTATGCCTCCTGCTCTGTTTTACCCCAATTCTGCCATATATTTCATGTTATAGCAATCTCAGATGAGATTTAAGAACACTTTCACTGCAGATTTGACAAAATGCAAAAAAAGGTACCAATGTGAGATTTCTAAAGATAGCTACAGCACTCGACCCAAGGTTTAAGAATCTGAAGTGCCTTCCAAAATCTGAGAGGGATGAGGTGTCATAGAATCATAGAATATTAGGGTTGGAAGAGACCTCAGGAGGTCATCTATCCAATCCCCTGCTCAAAGCAGGACCAACACCAACTAAATCATCCCAGCCAGGGCTTTGTTAAGCTGGGCCTTAAAAACCTCTAAGTATGGAGATTCCACCACCTCCCTAGGTAACCCATTCCAGTGCTTCACCACCCTCTTAGTGAAGTAGTGTTTCCTAATACCCAACCTAGACCTCCCCCACTGCAACTTGAGACCATTGCTCCTTGTTCTGTCATCAGATACCACTGAGAACAGCCTAGCTCCATCCTCTTTGGAACCCCCTTTCAGGTAGTTAAAGGCTGCTATCAATTCCTCCCTCACTCTTCTCTTCTTCAGACTAAATAACCCCAGTTCCCTCAGCCTCTCCTCATAAGTCATGTGCCCTAGCACCCTAATCATTTTCATTGCCCTCTGCTGGACTCTCTCCCATTTCCCCACATCCCTTCTGTAATGGGGGTACCAAAACGATGCAATACTCCAGTTGTGGCCTCACCAGTGCCGAATAGAGGGGAATAATCACTTCCCTCAATCTGCTGGCAATGCTGCTACTAATACAGACCAATATGCCGTTGGCCTTCTTGGTATACTGCTGACTCATATCCAGCTTCTCGTCCATTGTAATCCCCAGGTCCTTTTCTGCACAATTGCTGCTTATCCAGTTGGTCCCCAGCCTGTAGCAGTGCATG